TTTAAATATTTGATCCAAAGGAGTTATTTCAAATCAAACTTGCATTCCGATTAATTAACACTCCAATGATTGTACCGCTTCACTATTGTCTAAGATAATTATAATGAATTCGCGGGACACTATAGTATTCCTTTTAAACTTTAGTGGTTGGATGGAGACTTGTTTCCCCACCCCGTACACTAGTAAATTTTAAATATTTGATTTAGGGAGGTATTTGCAATCCAACTCTGATGATGCAAGACTAGTCCATACTCGTTTCCCAGTTTGATTTTCAATCAAAACATCATACCTTGGAAATCCAAGATGAGACTAGTCAGCCAAGACTAAATTAAGAACTTATTATCATTTAGACTATTGAGTTCATTAAATTATAATTCCATAGATATCATATTTAATCCCGTCAACACAATAATGGTATTATTGGCAATGATATGTAGTCAAAGACGGTTTAAAAAGTTGTTTAGATTAATGATAGTATTAGGAAAAATCCTAACTCAAAGTTTTTGTTCTCTCGCAATCCAGAGCAAACCACTCGCCGGGCAAGCATTCTTTAAAAACGTGAAGTTTTCACCATGTTGAGCAGTTTTGAAAATTGTCCAATTTGAACCATCGCCTTGTATATTTCTGTAACTGCCCCCCCCCCCCCCTTGACACTCGAGTGTAAGAATCCTTTCCACACTGTCAATGGTTTTACAAAATAGTTCATGTCAGGAAGGGGGAGGGGTGAGTGTGGAGAACAATCACTGACTGCGATTTGTATAATTGAACACTATACACTTATCATAAATTCGTAAAGAATAGTTTTAAAATAAACAGCTTGTTTCATGTTATGATTGGAGTGATGTATGCATAGAAGAATGACACTGGTTTTGAAATATCTTAATTATCCCATTCTTAACTCATACTAGTGGACTGATTTGATTTAAAGGAGAAGTCTCGGTGTAGAACGTGTACACACTAATGGGAACGAATTTTACTCATTTCTATTAAGGATTCGTTCATATACTAGCGGGGCTTTAGAGCATTTACAAACGCACGAATTGTATTGTTTTAGGCAACTTCTATGACATATATTTAAAGCTGATTAATTTTAGATTATATTCGGTTCAATTTTACAAATAATGAATAGTATTACAGTATATCGAAAAATATGCAATGATTTACATTAAATTGCGCAGACTGCAAACAATGAACATGGTTGGCGAATTTGCATGCGCGTTCTTGATAATAAGAATTTAAGGTTGAACTTAAAAATCAAACATTTTCTTTTTTAAACATAATAAATCTTTAAATCAAGAAAATAAAAATAAGATTGATGATTGAACTTTTCATAGTCAACTGCGACTGTGTCGACGCATGTTTATTTACTTAGCTAATTAGATATGTAAAATTGTTGATGGCCGCAACGGATAATACGTACATGTAAGCTGTTCGGATAAGACATTTCTATATGATTAATAACAAATCCCAGGCAGAATGTTATTCAACAGTACCCGATCTTGTTAGTTATTATTCAATTTGGATAATAAATCTATTATCTCGTCGTATTGATGTTTATTATATAGTGTTTCTCGTTGTGGCTACAATTAATGGTAAAAATGATATCCTAATTATAGAATGAAAACAAGCGGTGGCTTATATGGCATATACCAGTACATGTCACCTCCAAGAACTTAATATATATACTTCAGAGAGAGTGTGGTGTAGCTACTGTAGTTGGGAGGGGTGTTGCTTGTAGGCCCGGTAATGGGGCAGTGGCTTAAGGCGAAATGTTAAATTTCTAGCATGATCCAGCGATGAGAGTGACCAAATAGTGAACTAAACAATTAAAACCACGAGAAAATGGCTGATTTGATACATTTGCAATAAGCAAAACTGATGAAGAATGTGTAAATTCAACAATTCCATGCATCATCACATGGCATCGTTTATCGCACCAATGGTTGTGTTCGACCACTTAATTTCTATGCAGATCGAATGAGAAATGTTTGTTGTTACTATTTTAAAGTTTTAATTAATGATATTTGATCTACAAATGACATAATTTCCTTGATAAAAACATGCGTTTTCGAATTACCTATCTTCGGCCATTCATAGGTAATTACGTATCGCAAACCCTTAGGTAAAATATCGCTTAGTGTAATAACAAACTACGAATAGGTATAGGTAAATGGCATGGGTTATTTACGCTAATCTTAAACTCCCTATAACCCAATGCGCAGTATTTAGTTTCCTAGTCATACTGCCACTCATTTTGATACAGGTTTTTCTATTTGAAACAGTTCTTTAATGTATCGTACGTCTGATCAAAATCACAACCGGAAACTTGAAGGCCAAAATTTGACTACCGCTCCTGGTGTTAAAAAAATTAAAAGTATATTGATCTACACTGTATTTTAAATAACCGATTCTGATTTTGATCATAATGCAAGTTTTGTATGAGTAAAGTATATGGTACTACGCAAAATACTACGCAGATTATTTAAAACAAACCAGTTTTGTTCAATTATGTGGTTGTTCCGGATCACTAGCTTTGAAACGCAGACGAAGTTATTTTCTTAATATCTTTTATAAGATTGTATGACAAATGGTCCCATCAGTTATGCTATTTTGCTAATAAGAATAAATATAGTAGTATATAAGATCAAGCAAATATTTTTTGAAATTGGCATTGTTTTTAAACAAATCTTAAAGTGCCAAATTTGCGGAATTTACATACCTGTAAAATTGTACATGTACCTTTATAGTTCAAAATATTTTGATGATCCATGTTTTCAATATTGGATTGAAGGAGGAAACGATATTGGCCAAACCCAACAATATTGGACAAAGGGAAATGCAGTTGGAACCAAATATTCAGGCTGGTACACTAATTGGCATCATGGTCAACCGTCTAAATACTATAACGGCAGGCGAGAACCGTGCATGCACATTTGGGGTGATGCAGGCGATCGATGGAATGATGCAAACTGCTTCGATCGTAATTTTTACATTTGTGAGCATGATAATGCATAATAATGAAAAGTGTAATAAAGAAAGTATCAGAATCATAGCATTGTTTGTACTTTGCCCTTCGTCTTCAAAACCAAAAACTCAAAGACATGACGACGTTAGAATCCTCGGTAGGGGGAGCCAGTGCATGCTTCAAAATACTTACATCAACACTATTGAAGACCCCTTGGAATATATAAATAAATTATTGTACAGTATATGACACCCATGAGCGCATTTACTCTAGTTGTAGCATCGTAATGCATTGTTATCTATTGTACGGGTTTCCATGCACTTAGTGATTAGTCCATCAATTTCCAGCCCGTTTGACCAGAACTTCATTATTGTGCACATATCAAGAAAAAAATATTTAATCACAAATTCATTAAGGATTACATTTCGTTTGCAACATATTGCTTAGGGTGTTTCATTTTTCGACTTTTTCTGGATTATGTGGTTGTCAAGGTGATAACTTGACTCTACATAATAAAATCGATGCGTTGCCAACTTGACCCTTGTAAAAATGTCATTGAAAATATGTTTTTAATGGTTTCGCATCTTTTAAATGACATGGTAGAGAATATTTTACAGTCTGTGAAACAAATTTGAGTCCAAGCTCCAAACTCGTTTGCAAATATTTACACAAATCACGAATAGCGTAACACAAAATACTATGTGAAGTCTTTTTACAAAACGATCACCATATAAGAAGTGTGTTGAAATGAAATAATATAAAAGCAAATGCCAAAGATTATATATTTACACCTCCCTCAAAAGGTTTGTCAACCTTTTCTCACCTTGGCCTTCGTGATAAAACTCTTAATGTTTGAATTTTTTGAAACCTTTTTTGAAACCTGCAATTAAGTTATTTGTGATAAAGTTTGCGATGTAATTTGACTTAATTTTCTATACCTCAAGATTTTCCCAACTTGTTTTACTCGATTACAACAGGTCTAAGGTGATGCCAAAGATGACTACAATGTTAGCTTTTCCGAAAAGGTTTAAGGCTGGTATGAAGATGGCGGCACTGGTAGATTTGTCTATGTCCTCTCTTCAACAATACTTTGCAAGGAACTTAACATTGACATCATTCATAAAGAAACATAAACATAAACTCAACATCATTCAATATTTGGATAGTATTATTCAAAATGTTAACCAATCAAACGCTTCCCCGTAGAACAACTGAAGCGTATTGTCACCCTATGCAGACAGAGCCTGTGGGAAATATTGGGTGCGGCGCAAATGAGCGGAGGGTGCGGAGCTAACGGTCATTTTTGAATTTAAAATTGGGATATTTCTGAAACTAAGCCGTTTTGGGACTTCAAATATACCAAGATATGTGTATTTGACACCAAATATCAATAAAATTGTGAAAATAGTAGTGCACTTCATTTTATAGCGACGCGGTATGCCTCAAACATTTCCCAAACCTATATATTTTGAGACTATCCTTTTAATACTGCGTCCCCAGCATCCATAGAAAATGGTGTTCAAGATACACTACCCATGCAAATTATTTTTGCATCTTGGAAGCCAGGCAGTATCTGTGTGATTTTATAAAAATTCGGAAATGTTCTTCAGATATGAGCCCCCTCTAAATATTGGGTGCGGAGGTACGTTTATGGAGCTCCTCCGCACCGAATATTTAGAGGGGGCTCATATCTAAAAAACATTTCCGAATTTTTATAAAATCACACAGATACTGCCTGGCTTCCAAGATGCAAAAATAACTTGTATAGATAGTGTACCTTGAACACCATTTTTATGAATGCTGGGGACTCAGTATTAAAAGGATAATTTCAAAATATATAGGTCCGGGAAAGGTTTAAGGCACACTGCGTCGCTATATAATGAACTGCGCTACTATTTTCACAATTGTATTGATATTTGGTGTCAAATACACATATCTTTGTATATTTGTATAAGTCCCAAAACGGCTTAATTTCAGAAATATCCCAAATTTAAATTCAAAAATGACCGTTAGCTCCGCACCCTCCGCTCATTTGCTCCGCACCCAATATTTCCCACAGGCTCTGTCTGCATAGGGTGATTGTATTCAACTATAAAACATAATGTTTTGTGCATATTGTGTAACAACTATTAAATCTATTCTTCCAAATCGGTTAGAGACGGAGAAAAAATAAAAAGTGTTCAGGTAAGTTTGATTATTCAATAAGCCTTTCTGAATCAGTAAAGCTTGGTAATTATAAGACTTTACTTATTAAAACGATCGTACATTAGGAGTATGTCTCTAGACTATATCCTATTTAGTCTGAATTATATTCAGACTGACTTCTAGTCAGTCTGTTGGATACATACTAAGTATGTCTCTAATGCCTTGGTCACATATGCTCCGATCCATCGGCTGGTGCCCGGCCGATTGAGTGTTTTGTTCAATATTGTATACAATTTTGAACAAAATACTCAATCGGCCAGGCGCCGTAGTGAAAATCGGAGCAAATGTGACCAAAGGCATAAGAGGCCCTACGTTTGTAAAACTATCTGCAACCGAAATCAATCATATTCTTTCGTGAAAAGCAATTATCGGTGTTCATAATCACTTTGATGCGAGTAGGTAGTTATCAGTTTCACCATTCATCATCATTCTCGTGGATCAATTTTCATATTTTTATGTATCTGATAGTTATACAAATTAAAATATGTCCAGCAAAGCAAAATATTATCTGTCCACTAAAATAAAAGATATTTCACTTTTTGTGATTTTATAACATGGGGTCTATGGGGAATCTCCCCGACTTAAAAATCATTTTTTTTTTAAATTAATTTTTCAAAGTTGAGAAACAATTTTTGAAACCACATTTCTAGATGTAATTCTACATGTAGATCTCAAATATGATGTCACTTTGACTGAATTTTGAACATTTAATTATGTTAAGCAAGATTATTACTACTCGCATCTAGGCTATTGTATCGATATATGAGATGAATATATTTTAAAAAGTGAAAAGCATTTTAAATATTACATGAGGTAATCATTGCAATTGAATGATAACGTTACAACCTCATTTTGATGTATGAGGTGTGGGTCTGTTTCTATGATGTACGTGATTCGCCGCAATGAATACACCAAGTGCATTAACATTCTTTTAGTAGCAACTTCCGATGTGGTATCAGTAGGGTTATTCGAGCAACTTAATTAAGTCGGGATATTTCGTGAGTTTTGAGACATGCCTGATATCTCTCAGGGGCATAGTCAGCTTTTAGTCAGGGGGGGGGTGCGATTGTCAAAAATCGGTTTTCAAATGGCATAAACAAGCCAAAAAGGTTTGTTTTGAAATTCAAAATTAAGCTAGAAGCTTCAAATAAAAAACATTTTAAAGCTATTTTCTTCTTCTTCTTCTTCTATTTTTATTGGTCAAGGGGGGGGGGGCTGCGATCGCCTATGCCTCTTCTAAGACAAACTTTTTTCAGACTTTTTTAAAGTCCATGGGATCATTAATGTTTCAAATGAAACTTTTTTAGGATGCAGACAACCAAAGCGGTCATTCTTCTGACAGTTGCGTCAGCATTTATTTCTGAGACAAAAGCTGTTTGTCCGGATGGATATTCCTCCTATAGTGGTCACTGCTACATTTGCGCAAAAGGTTTAGAGCCCAAATTAACATGGTTCGACGCAAGTGCGTTATGTGTTTCGCAGGGTGCTTATTTAGTAAACATAGGCTCTTCTGGTGAGCAGGCGTATGTCGAAAGCTTGATAGATAATAATCCGAATAATAACAATTGGATAGGTAAGAGAATTTGAAGTTTAAATACGATAAAATGATGTACACTTAGTGGACTAGCATTCAAGTCCCAATGTAAAGATTGAAAATATGTTTTGTATAACTTCTAAAAAATTTAAGTAATGCAAACATTATTTTTAACACCAATGCAAAGATTGAACAAAGGACGCATTGCTATAATAAACTGTCATTTCGTGTGCCACTTCAATATTTTAGCATATCAAAAATGTTTTGCAACTCAAGTGACTTCATCTTGATATCACTCAGGTGGAAAAAACTTTTTGAAAGAAATTCACTTTCTGAAAATGCTTAAACCTGCACATCGCTCCAAAACGCAATCTTGGGTTGTTTCGGGGGTGAACTTTATCATTTTGAGCTTAATGAAAGATTATAGAATGATGAACAAATGGGGCAAATCCTGTGTACAAATACTCACGATCATTGTGTCATTACAACGATTATTCATTGAATTGCTTCGATTGTCGACGACAATATAGGTTTCTAAATTAAGAACGTGACGTCACTTCCGAATTATAGCATTCAAAATAAGTAGCGTTTAATTACACTCATCATTCGTAATGAATTGGTAGCCCATCGGTAGAATTCTCGCTCAGCACGCAGGCGGCCCGGGTTCGAATCCCGCATGCACGTTTCTTTTATTTTTTTTAAAATAAATGATTGTTCTTTGATATTACACAGAAAAAAACATTTATTATTTACAGAAACTTTATTTTAGAGCTTGAAAATGTAAAAACAATATATGTCAAAATATTGCGTTTTGGAGCGATGTGCAGGTTTAACTTCAAAATTAAACCAATGCTCATTGTCTAACCAGGTTAACAGGTTACATTAGGCTATGTTTGGCTAAGTTCAAAATAGTATTGTCACAATGGATTCTATTAGAACTAAAATTTGGAAACGCATTTTTCTCTGAATCATTTTCATTGATGGATGGTTTGATTTTTTACTTATTTATGAAACAATTTTTCGGCATAAAACACCAGAGGATGAATGCTGTAGATTGGTGAACCAACACGTATTAAAATATATATGTGATCTCTTTAAGTTGGTTTTAATAAATTCACGATTTTTCGAACAAAATTCTTTCAAAAACAACTTTTTGAAGTTTTAAAATAAAGTTCACATATCACACTTTGATAACATAGGGTAAGAGTACAATGTAACCCAAAGTGGTCTGAATTTCTGAATGAAAAAAATACTTTATTGTAATACGTACTGTAGAATTTAGTTTATATTTCAAACTGTTTTTACTGTTTATGTTTTCAATGTTGGTATTAGGCGCAAATGATATTGGCAAAAGTGCACAACATTGGACAAAGGGAACTGTAGTTGGCAGTTCAGGCGGATATACTAATTGGGCGCCAGGTGAACCGTCTAGATATTATAATGGCCTCCGTCAACCATGCACGAACATTCGGGGTATAACGGGTAATAAATGGGACGATGCATTCTGTTCCGACCTTTGTTATTACATTTGTGAGCATGATGGACAATAATGAAAAGTGTAATAAAGAAAATATCAACATGATAACATGATATTTACTTTGCTTTTTGTCTTTGACCCAAAATAACAAAACAATGTTTATCAATACCATAAACCCCGATTTGTTTATAGTAAAGACATATTAACACAAATCTCATTTAATGCTAACTGGTGTTATGAAATTTCATTTCATCTGTGTTAAGGTCAGGGTTCACTTTGATGAAATTTCATGACCATTTGCTATTTTCAGATAAACATACACTCCCCTCCATAAGTTTTGCAACCTTAGCTCCCCCATTGAACTACGTATTAAAACCTCTTTACCTTTGAATTTTTATTTACCTACCCTGCGATGAAAATACTTATAATGTTGATGGTAATCTGACTTTATTTGGAGCTATCTCAGGAGCATCTGTGCTCACAATTCCTCCCTCAGATGTTACAAAATCTCGAAAAAGAATTGCCCATGGGCTGCTTTTCTCTGCTTTTACCCACATATGACTTAGGGCTGAACCATTCATGACTTGGACAGATGAGCGCATCATTATGTGCAAGGAAGTGGTGGCAATTTGGAGGGGTATAGGATGTATTCTTGCAAAAGTATGAGTATGAACACTTTACTGTCTATGCCACATATGTCACACCTTCTTCCAATACCCCCTATGCCCCTTAGCTTGTACTGACTTTTGCAATGTTTCAAACGTGGGTCCGAGCTGAATTTTGCCCCACTTTACAAAATTAATGATTATTCGGCCAGCGATGACTCCGTGTGAATGAATGATATTCCATTGCAAAGAGGAGTAATTTGGCTTTTTGGTACATTGAATGAAAATGATGCAGTCAGCATTGGTTTTATGTTTTCTTTCAATATTGCATCAGGATTACTGATGATTACTCAACCATGACCAAATATCAATGAATGATATATCATTGTAAAGAAGAGACACGTGGCTTTATGGTGCATTAAATGAAATCAATGCTATTATCACTGGTTTTGTGCTTTTCCGAGATAACAATCTGTTGCGTTTTTTTTATACGCACTGTACATATTACATGGTCATGGTTGTAAGCAGTTGTAAGCACAAAAATATAGCACAAATATAGTGTCATAGATTTCAAGCCCATCTCCACAAACAACAACTATTGAAACACAAAACGCTGTGTAAAGTGTGTAAAAGTGTATACATAAGATATATAGGTGGTATAATCAGCTTTGTATTGTATTGTATCTTTATTACTCCACAAGGGAGAGCAAACATATAAAATTACATCATTTTAATAAACAAAAATTACAACTACAAAGGAACATATTTACAAGAAACATTGTTTGAGTTCATTGACAATATCATGATTATCGTCATGTGATTTCTCACAGTGAGTTTTATGTAAATACAAGGATCCGGAGTTATTTGATTACTTTAAAGTAACTGTCTAAATGATAGAGAGATGTAGCACACTCAATTATGAACTGATCGTAAACTAAATATCATCATTTATGAAAATATCTACTCTACCACCGAGTATAGTTTGTTCAAAAATATCTTCAGCAGCTTAACGCTATCATTTTCTGGCAAAATGTCAACTTTATGTTCAAGAAAATCATTTCTTTCGCTTAACACGTATGAGCACCTAAGGAAGTGTGCAACTACATGCCTTTGCATAGGATATTGCATTTTTGCATTGAAAGAATCTATGTTTTGGAATAGTTGAAAGGTAAACAAGGTTAGCAAGTTGCCACAAGTGTGTAAGATTTCGCTTGCCTATTATCCAAGCAAAACTTGGTTCAATTTGAATTTGAATATTGCTGAACATTACAAGATTACTACTTGCATTTATCCTTGCTAACCACATTTCCTCTTCTTGCAAATGTGTATGATATTTGGTTTCCGAACAACTCGGACCCAGGAC